ATTCTCTAAAGACATTTCTTCTCTCTTATACTTCAAACCGTTTTTATACTCTTTCCATAAAGGTCGTAATATTTCAATTATAGCATACACTTAAAAACCCGCACAGATTTTATATCCCTCAACAATAATTTCGTGAATTATAATCTGTAATTATTCAACTTGATTGACCACAGTTCTAATGTCATCCATTTTAAAATCTAGAAATTTTTTCACAACAAATTTCTTAGTTTCAGCATCTTTTATAGCATATTTCTCTTCTAAGAAATTTCATAATTCTTTAGTGGATTTACACGACTAATAAATACCATATAAATCTAGCATCAAATAATTCAGAATACAATTCTTGCACATATAATCGTTACGTTCCCAATTAGCTAAATCCTATGTTTTCTTATCAATAGGCTTATCAGCAATTGCAAAAAGCGAGTTTATCAAATTCAATAGCATCAATGACTTTAAGGGTTGTCAATTAGAATCGTAGTTTCATTTGCTATCTCTTAAAATTCTTTCCATCAAACAATTCAAGTTTTTCAGAATACTTAAGAACATATATATCTACGACAAACATGTCAATTAATTATAAACGAAATTTCACTTTCGATTGTTGAAAAAATAATTAGTTGCAATAACGTGCAAAACAGTAAAATACAGAAATAAAACTTAGCCACTGAATAAAACTTCTCGATTGATCAAGTCTCGTGACAGTACGATATTTTGAAGTGAAATTGCTCGTCGATAACTGTTGCGACTTCTGTAGACAATCATTCTTAGGATACAACGATCACAAACCACTTGTCCAGAAATCACGAATGGTTTCCCAGAACTCTCAAGTGTATTACAGAAAAATAATTAAAAAAAAATCGAGTATAAAATTTCAGAATATGAGAAACCATAATATCGTTTCTGATAATTTTGTTTTTTATATATATTTTTGGCAAACGAGATGGATGTTTATATAGGCAGAATAGATCCAACCACTTCTACCATAATCCAACAGTATTTGCAAAATCTACTAGCTAGTGGATAATGGATTGTTAAAAAAAGGTCATATAATATTCGCTAATTTAATCAATTAAATAAACCTGAACTCTCGATGTCTCACACAAATGTCACATTTTTCACCACTTGGATATTTCATCTAAATTGATTATTTGTTTCTCATTTCCCATACAAAGGGCACATTTTAGAATGATGGCGATTGACTTACAATGATGACTATTGACGAAATGGGGCCAGCAAACACGCTTTTTGTGGACATGCTTCAACATCTATCTTCCATTTTCAATTGATTGGTTAAACATGTGAATCCAACTGTGTAGTAAAGGCTAATTACTCTCTACAGATTAATAGATTATATAACAACTCTGAATTTGAAAGCACGCCGTCAAATGCTTTAATTATATGATAATCATGTCCGGTTTTGTTTTTCATCAAGAAAATCCATGGCTATTCTCAAATTTTTTTCTTCTTTTTCCCTTGTTTTTGTTCACTGTTTTCTTGATCAGAATGTGGTTCAACCCCTCAAAAACCCCTTTAAATCACCCACCATCTCCACCAAAACTCCCAATAATTGGAAATCTGCATCAAATTGGGTTGAATCCCCATAGAACTCTTCAATCCTTGGCCCAAAAACATGGCCCTCTGATGCTTCTTCATCTGGGTAATGTCCCCCTTCTTGTTGTCTCATCGGCCTATGCAGCTCGAGAAATTATGAAAACCCATGATCCCATTTTCTCAAATAGGCCTAAAGCAAGTGTAGCAAGTGGGATTTATGAATGCAAAGATATAGCATTTTCTCCCTATGGTGAATACTGGAGGCAGGTAAAGAGTATTTGTGTTCATAAGCTTTTAAGCAATAGAAAAGTTCAGTCTTTTCGAAATGTTAGAGAGGAAGAAATTGCACTTATGGTGGAAAAGATTAAAGGATTGGTTTTTGCTAATGCGAGGATTAATTTGGGTGAAATATTTGCATCACTTACAAATGATGTAATTTGTAGAGTGGCATTAGGCAGGAAATACAACGATGGAGAAGGTGGGAGGAAATTTAAAGAGGTTTTGGAGACTTTGGGGGAATTATTGGGTGCTTTTGATGTAGGAGAATTCATTCCATGGCTTGTTTGGATGAAATATATCAATGGTATGGATTCAAAAGTGAAGAAAGTTGCTAAAGATCTTGACGAGTTTCTTGAAAGTGTAGTTCAAATGCACATTGACGAGAAGAGAATAAAGGGGAATAATGGTGAGAAAATGCAAGATTTTGTGGATGTTTTGCTTGAAATTCAGAAGAAAAATGAGACTGGATTTGTTCTTGATGGAATCTCTGTTAAAGCTCTCATCTTGGTAACATGTTCTCTTAACGTGCTTAATTGTCTTTTCTTTTCATAAATAATTAAGTAATAATGTATCCGTGATAATCTCATTTATTTCGATGGCGAGAGGGTTCACCTTCTTATATTTCTGCGTCTTGCCTGTGATGCCAATCTTGGCTTGAGATGGGCCTTCGATTAAAGTTATGTGCTATAGTTGAAATACAAGAAAATTTCGAGCATCGTCTCAGGCCGAGGCTGGTCTCCATTTGAAAGTCAACGAACTATTAGTTGAAATACCGGTATTTTTTTTTCCAAAAAACCCTTCTTTAGTGATCAAGATTAAACATAGCTTTGATTTGAGTTTATTTTTATATTATAATAGTTGTTTCTATACTTAAAAGTTTGTGAAATTATTCAGTCAGTTGTGGATCTTATCACTTCATTCCTCAACTCGGGGAAATGAAGTGGGCCGCACTTTGACGTCTTCAGTTACTTTCTCATGCTGTGCTAGGTTATGGATTGATAGCTGTCCTAGATTTATCTAATCGTTCTTGATTTAATGAAGTATTTGCTTCCAAAAAAAAAAAAAAAATCGTCGAAATATTTCTATTTCTTGATCATCTCAAGTTTAGCATCGACTCGATGCTTAAGAAGGGGCAACTTGTTGCAGGACATGTTTGCAGCTGGGACTGATACAACATTCACACTTCTTGAGTGGACAATGTCTGAACTCCTAAGACACAAACATATTATGAAGAAATTGAAGAATGAAGTGAGAAATATTGCAGGAGTCAAATCACATATAACAGAAGATGACTTGGACAAACTGCAATACTTGAAAGCAGTTATAAAAGAGACTCTAAGACTGCACCCTCCACTCCCATTGCTCGTTCCCAGAGAATCGACCCAAGATGTTAAACTGTTAGGCTATGACATTGCAGCCGGGACACGAGTGATCGTCAATGTTTGGGCTATAGGTCGAGATCCATCTTTATGGGAAGATCCTGACAAATTTTGGCCGGACAGGTTCTTGAACAGCCCTATAGATTTCAAAGGGCAACATTTCGAATTAATCCCGTTTGGCGGTGGACGAAGAAGCTGTCCTGGTGCTGCATTTGCCATGGGAATAGTTGAGCTTGCACTGGCAAATCTAGTTGTCAACTTTGAATTTTTATTGCCTGGTGGAGTAGATGGGGAGGATTTGGATATGACTGAAGGAGATGGTATTACCGTGCATAAAAAATTCCCTTTAACTGTTTTGGCAAGTTTTAACTCTCTGTGAAATTTGCAATATGTAATGAGATTGAACTATTGGTTGATCAACTTTTATGAAGAATAGGAGGAATATGTAATGATTTATCCTAGAAGAACTCAATGGTATTCCCTTCTTTGTTTATTCGATTCGAGGAGAATAGCTCTTCAATAAGCATTTGAAGTGATTTAACGAAGAGTCTATATTAGGGGAGTACAAATTCCGCTCCCTCATTTTGACTAAGCTCGAAAAAATTAGTCTAGTTAAATTGGAGTACTTTTTCTGTTTCTAAACATGTTTGAATAACATTTTGCTATTTTCAAAAATACTAATTTGAAACCAATTAAATCAATCATCATGTGGTTGTATAAGCTCCAGTCACATGGTTAAGTGAGTTCCTTATGATGTCACTTCTTCATTTTGACAGAAAAGTAAGTATTAGTGTCGAGAAAAACTTATTTATCCTAAGCGTGAATAGATTTTCTCAACCAGTTTGGTTCATCAAATGACCTCGACTCAATATTTAGGATCACTGAGTTTTAGTAATGACAATACACGATGGATGTATTGAACAACATAATAATTGCACATCTATGACTACAAGGATGTGCATTAAGGCGAATGAAATTGAAATTGCCACCAAAGAAAGGAAAAAATCCATTTGATTATTCAAGAATTAGCCGCGATTATAACAACCTACAAACCTGACTTTGATACCACTTGTCATGAACCTTGTTTCATCTAAGTTCATGCAATTTATTATTTATTAACATTTTCTTTTGGTCAATTGTTTACTTAAGAGCATGGCAATACATTTATATAAAACTTCTACCTCCGTTCTCTTAACTCAGCCCAGTCTTTTACCACAAGTCACATCTAAGAGTTGAAGCTTCTAGAATGAGAGAATTTACTATGCTATCAAGAAGATATCATTCTTGAATCATGAAGCACTTTTTGTGAGTATTAAGCATCAAACCTTTGACCAAAGAAACTAATTATGCTTGCACTAGGTGGCATGCTCACAGCATAATTTAAACAAATAAAATCGTCCCATCTAATTAAAATTTTAGACGAAATAGTTCAATGTGGAACATGAAAAAGTCCTAGCTTATTTACAAAGATTGCGCACGTATCAAGTATTTCATTAAAAGGAAAAAGAATCTCACATGCATACGAGTGCATTTTGAAAACACAATTTATATAAATTAGTCATCTCGCTAACACTTAAGATTCAGATAAAAGGGCTCAATAAACTAGAATGACATGAATGGGTAGGATCTAAACAAAGAAGGCAGTCGCTGATGGAGGAAGCTTATACAAAATGTAACAGAAACCATACTATTCAAATTATCAATTTGTAAATGCCCACTAGATGCTACATTGAAAGTAAAATAATCACAATCAACAACTAGTAGATAGCAGTTAAGCAACAGGCAGTATAAATTAAGATAGTCGGAATTTATGCGTCTTATTGAATATCGCTCCATCAAGATGCATTAACACAAATCAAGAACTAATAAAAATTGGATATAGATGCTTCTGTTTTTCTATTGGCATAATATATACACGACTAGTAAGCCAATCTCATTTATCAGATGGCAATTTGTGCCTAAAGATATCTCTCACATTTAACTACAATGGTAAAATCCCATTAATGCAAAGCAAAATCGTCTACATCTTCCCAGAAGCATCGGTACATCCATCTTCAACTCGACTGCCCAACCTCACTATGTCTTCAACAAGGATCTTTCCATCTGAAGCAAAAACATAAAATAACAAAAGAAGCCAAATGTGTGTTGTATCATTAACATTGTATACATCTCAGGAATGAGAAAGTCGAGATTATATCTACCGAAAGCTCCCATATAGCAAGATTAGGACATTAGTTGGCCATGAATTTTAAAAAGGACACGACTATTAACAATTCATTTCTTCTAATTCATCTTAATTGACGGAAGCCGGGGTAACTTCTCAAACTTGAGAAATTATTTTCTTTTAGCATTGCACTGCAGTGGTTCCTTCCAAATTGAGAATATTATGCTGAAAAAGATATGCTTTAAACAATAAAGAAATTATATCTGGTGTATTAAATATCTAGGAAACAATAGATGAAGCAGAGCATTTCAAGTTTCGCCAGCACAACTGACTAGATAATGTTGGCGATCCACAAAACATGAAAGGGGGTCCACTTAAAAGTAAGTAAAGGTTTACTAGTCCAAACACATTTGAGAAAAAAAATTACTTAAAAAATAACTTTTACTTATTTCAAGCTTTATAAATATGCTATAAACCTAGACGGTATGTCAAAATGGAAATCACATGCATATAAAGAGTCGAGAATAACTTACCTGAGTCTTTGGAAAGGTTGTTGATTAGTTCTTGAACCCCATCCTTGCCTAAAGTGTCTTTCAAGTACATAGCTGCAGCAGCCACCTCCTCAGGAGTCACTTTACCATCATAATCTCTATACATGTACAACAATGACGATGTTTTAGAATTTCGACCAAGTATGAACTTCTGTAAACCGACTTTCAAGTAGTTAGTTTTCTACTTAAATTAGACTTTATAAGAATTTCCAACAATATTTCCCTGATAAAAAATGCATGTGGTGAAGCAATAGTGATGGTTGACCCGAAAACAATAGCCATGTTTTTTAGCTATTAACCTTAACAGCACTGACAAAATTTAGTTACATCACTCCTCACACCCACAGAAGAATATGCAGCCTCAGAAAGTTAGAAACATTCAATTGTTTCTTCCCCAGACTTAAGTAGTTCAATAAACCATAATGGCCATTTTCTTTAATAACCATCATGCAAGTTCTTTTAGTGCCGAAGGACAAGAAATTAGAGATCATAATCCATGAAGCAATATTGAATCCAACTCCTAAGCAGGACACCAAGAATAAAGGATTAAAACAGTTAAGAATAAAAATAGACAATCCTTAATTTACCTGTCAAGTACTCGCCAGTGATCACCAATCTTTATATCCACATCATCAATTTCTTTCTCGAGCCTTTGAAGCATAGTATCAACCTGGACAAAAGCAACCAATTAAATAACTTAGTTTTTAATACATCCATGCAAGATATTCTAAACATCACCTATATCCTCTTCACACTGGCTTTTCCTTTTCTGTTTTCATCCACGTTAAAACCCTCCTCCCCCCGTGCTTCATAAGACTCTTTCCTCGGCAGCCAGAGAGGGAGAGGAGACATTACTTATAATCCAGGTTACGAAATGTTAGGGACAAAAAATCTCACCTTATCTGTGAGAGCAGATGAAACCTTGTCATGCTCAGGAATTTCATCATCGCCATCACAAGCAGCTTTATATGCCTTCATTGCCTCTACTTTACCATCTATACCATCTCCATCCACCATGCTATTATAAAGTTCAATCTGGAAAGATCAAGAGAAATTTACCATGACCAACTGACATCACTGACTTAAGAAATACATCATCTACACGCAAAAGCACAATGGTGAGTATCAATATCAGATGTCAATCTCATGTTGGATTTAATTATATTTTGAAAATTCTTATCTTCATCCAGCAAAGAAAAATTAGGTCTGATTTTTCTTATCCCATTATGACATGTTAATTTGTCACATGATAGATGATTAAGAAAATGATCAACCCTGAGGGGGAATACTCGCTCTTGGGCAAGATTAGGAGTCTTCAACGTGTTTTTCTATTCTGCATTGAAAGTAACTAGTGACAAACAATAATCAAAACTGAAGTACTTCTCATGGTCAATACAAAGTAAAACTCCATTTGAGTTCTCCCATGATTGCTACTTTTTCTACTTACATTTTACTATTAAGAGGTCTACATCAAATCAAGAAATACCTCTTTATTGACAAGCCTTAGGAATTCTTCACGCTCCCTGCTCACTGACTGTATATTATAAACCAATGGATAAATTCAAACAATAGTGATGAGAACAAAGAGAATATAGACTCAGTAGAAACTCAAACATCACAAAGTTCGTGAACTCCTTACAGAAGCAGAAGCTAAGACAGCTAATGCACGGCTAAGTTCACAAAGCTGCTCGCACTTGTCCAGGGCTCTTGCTCTAGCTTGCTCTCGTGCTTCTCTCGCAGTTGGAGTGGTCATCTCCTTCAAAGCAACATCATCTTCACTATCAGCAGATTTTTTCTTTGCAGCTCGCTCTTCTTCATTTTTCACTTCCTCCTCCTAGAGCCAATTGAACACAACAATGGTATCACCTTCTCAATAAAGCAATAAGTTGCCTTACATCTATAAGATAGCATATTGAACCTGAAGTCAACAACTCAAATTCGAGTAGGGAACATAGAACTTCAGGAATTAGGAAACTCTCAGCCCTCTTATTTATTGTTGGTGTGCATAGAATAGAAGAGTATAGGAAAACAATTCTATAACAAAATAGACTCCAGGAACATATACACAATTTCATTAACCTTGATAAGTTCCTCTTGCATTTCAAGGAAATCCAATTTCCTTCTCCTTTCTGCAACAGAATCTTCAGATGACAACTTTTCCATGCCAACAGTATCCACAACCTCATCTGGGAGAGAAGAGAGTGTAGCTCCAACGGCTTCCTCTGGCCTCAACTTTCCTGATACTGTGAAGGCTCTGTCAACAGCAAGAGAACATAAACATTCAGATATTGTCCAAGAATTAACTGAAAAAAATAAATAAATTATCCTGAATAGGGAAGAAGAAAATGGAAGGAAAGTGCTTCCTTTAAATGAACCTGGAAAGAATCAAAAGTGATGATGGAACAGAGTGATTCAGTGATAAATCTAGCCAATCACGCAGCTGCAAGGAAAAATGATAAATTAATTTTTGCAGCAAATAATTCCATTATGCTAGGTATGTTTTTATGATGATCTCATGTTTGTGCAACGTGATACAAACTTCTCAGGTTTCTGCTAGAATTTCTTTATTGCTATAAATGCAAACCATAACATATTAGAAGAATCTGAAGGGAAGTTCAATTTCTCCTAATAAAAGGGAAAAATGTCTATTGATGGCAACCAACAAGCCCATTGCTCCACAAGACTTTCATTAAGATTCAAAAATAATATAAAGAATTTCAAACTTCAAAAAGATTTTTAAATGATTTGTCTCTAGTTAGAAAAACTAAAGAAAATTCAATTACATCCAGAAAATTAAAATTATGATATTTGCAACGGTGGGGTTATTTTATTATCTATGATAAAGACACTGATATAGTGACAGCAAAGTGCTGCCATCATAATGACGATCTAAATCAGGCCCTTTTCTGCATTTATTATTGACTAAATTCTCCCATGTATAAGAATAATGTAACATCAACCAACTCTCAAACCAATAGATGTACCTAATGTTTTGTACCAAATATATAACGAAGAGTTCAAACAATTCTCAACCAAAAGATGACTTACATATGCAATCTGAAATATAATACTTTGATTTCTGTTTATATTTAATCAGTGCTTATTTTTGAATTTAAGAACCTGTTGACGCATTTCTTCTACTGAAAGTAGTCCAAGCATTCCTCGCTCTCTACATTCTTCACGAAGCTCAGCTTCTGACAGAGACTCCAAGCCCTCTGATTGAATTAATATGTCATCATTCATAATCCTAAGGGGGAGAAATAAAAAACTTAGAATGCCTAAAACAAAAGATCATGTTCAAATATTTAATGAAGTCATACAAGTAAAAGAAATGTGCTAGCAAATAAAAGAAAACATGAGTTCTTTTAAGAGTCAACCTACTTCGTACTTTGAAGGAGAAAAAGAAGGGACAGCTGATAGAAGCTCAATATATTTAATGTGAAGAGGAAGTAATAATATATTGAAGACTTCAGAACATTTACAACTCTTCAATAGAAACTTCTTGATATCATAATGCCAAACGGATAACAACAACTCAAGCTTGAATTACTTTTCCAGCCAAATCCTAAAAATAAGCTCTCAGCCATTGGTCATCTATGCATACAAATCAGAATATGTGCTAGAGACCGTAAGTCGTTACAGAAACCTTAGACAGAAAGGAAATGGGCATACCTTTGCAATCTCTTTCTAAGCATATAGCGCAAGTAAGCATCTGTTCCTATAGAACTAATTCCCATATACTTGCACATATTGACTAACCGAGGCCTATTAGCAACAAAGATTTGAGCATCATAATACACTCTAAATAACCAAAAATATGATATTCATGTATAAAGCAACAGATATTAGAGATTTTAATTGCAAATAAGCTAACCTGCTGATATTATCTAGTGTGAGTGCATCATTGAACAACTTAGCAAAACCCAAGATTTCATCATTTGAGACACCAGCACCTGTTCTAACCTTTATCAAACACATCAAACATATATTAAGATTGGTAGAAAATTTGTAGATAGGATCTGGAAAGGGAAGGTAAATACAACAGCAGACTCATCATCAACTGTATACTAACCCGGTCGAGAAATTCATCGAGGTCCTCAGCAGTTTTCTTAATCTCCCCTTTTCGTGAATTTTGAACTTCCTTTGCCATTTCTTTGACTGTGTCTTGAAGAAACTTTGCATACTCAATTCTGGCAATTAGCTGCCTTTTCAATGCTTCCTACAAGTTTGTTCTTGTAAATCCAATTTTCATTTGAAGAGGACAGAATAAAGGGTAAGTAAACAAATATCTATGTTTCATCCGAATGAAACTGCATATGTTGGCCAGTGTTATGTTTTCCGACCTAAAATACAAGGCAATGGAGTAGATCTACACAAGCCAATAATGGCATGCCGTAGAGAACAACTAGCCAGGAAAAATAGGCCATAGAATCTCAGTTTTCACGAGTGGAAAATAAGTGTCTTTACACAGAAGTGCTTATAAAGCAAGAGTACAGATTGATCATGATGCAGAACCTCATATCTAAAAATAAAATGAATCAAATGACTAATCTATCCATTAACTACATCAAACTTTGTAAAATTTAAGCCCACGTCTCTGAAATGCAAGAATGGTACTATATTTTTTTCGACTTTTCACTACGTCATGAAGTTACGAGCACACCTGTCCACAAAATGATAAAAAATCTATTTGCAGGTTTCTACCACAAATCTTTATAACTGGGCAATTCGAGGACATTTCTAATGTCAATGTGATGCACCAAGAAAATGTTTTGAGAAAAGAACGGCGTAAATATACAATATCTCAGAAAAACAAAAGACATGCAGTTGCAACAATTACATGAATGAGCAACCTTTTAGACGGGCAGAGGACTCTCTTTAAAAATTATTATTTGAAATGAATATTGAAGTATTGAACTGAGAGAAGAAGATATTAGCACAAAAGATATAATATGAGATTGTTGGACATTAAAGGATATATAGTGGCTTAGGTAAAGAATAATATGGAATAGAATAAAGATGGTGTCAATCAGAAAAATGACAATAGGAAAACATGAAACAATTCCAAGCATATTAAGGGAAAACATTATTATATCTTCTTAAACAAACTTGATTCCCCAAACAAGTCCTTGTACTTCGACAAATATTAAAGTGAATAGAAAGGAGTCTCAACAAAAGAGTGTCACGAATTGGATGTCAATTATGCACAAAATCACTGATAGATGTCGACTTTAATTACAATTTCAATGAGGGACAATAAATTTCAAGCACCAAGCAATGACGATTTTTTCCATGCCTTCACGTGATCCTGGTCTATAGATGTCAACTAGTGCGTATTAGAAAAAGCTTCAGAGTGAAGTTCACGCTACTATCATAATTTGGTCTAAAAAGTCGGTCCAGAAGCATGCTGAAGCAGAATACTACCGCTGAATCTATATCACGGAATACCATTCACAGTAGTATTAACTGAGTCTTTCTTCATAAACACAGATTATACGGGAAGAGGGCAGGGAGAAAAAATGATTTAAAAGCATAAAATAGACTATGGAACAGAATTAAAAATCAGAAAAATTAAAAGACGGTATCAATTAAAATTTCAATCAATACCTCTTCTTTCATCTTGTCTTGGAAGGTTGATGGTAACATGTTAGGAAAAAGCTTCAGAAAGACAGGCAACAAGAATTCCATGAATGGGACTATGATAAAAACAGCAAATGGAACTAGCCTAAAAATATCAGCAGTCGTTCGGGTAAGCTGTTGCCTCTCCCTTCTAGAGAGACTCTTTCCACCAGCAAGTTTCAGCAACAATCTTGAACTTATTCTCACATCAGCCCATAGAAGCTTACAGCCCAACCAGTAATGCTGCAGCGTCGATACAGACTCATTTTTCCAGTGCAAAATTTTTTTAGCCCAGTCTTCCCTGAAAGGAAAGATAATGCATGAAAAAAGGACATGAGATAATAACCAGATTGTTTGGTCCAAAAATAAAAAATCATAACACTGGAGAACAATCCAACCTGCTCATTGAAATGACAGCTCTAAAAGCTGGACCGATTCCCAGAAGCCTAGCCCACAGCCTCCACAAAATGGATTTTGCAACCTTCTGAGGTTCTTCTAGCTGTTTAGCTTTTGCTTTGGCCTTTGCAGTGCTTAGACCTACAACAGCTTGATCACATTCCTCTGGAGATGCTTCCTTTCTCTTTTTGGTAACCAATATCTCATCATCTTCATTATCACTTCCAAAATCAGGCTGATTTGCAGTTGCTGTAGAGGCATATCGTACAGGTTGTAACATTAACCTGACCCCTACATGGGATTTAAAATCTATCCTTCCATTTCCATAATGGCGAAATGTAATTCCATAAGCTTTATTCCTAAAAAAGCCTAATGTTGAAAGATTCAACAATTGCCTGAAAACTGAAGCTTCAGTATTAGATTCTGAATTATCTGAACCTCGAGAGAAGTGGTTTGCAACAGATCTGAAACCACAAGAATCTGAAAGCTGACTAGATTGCTCCAGACCCAAAGTTCGGTAACTTTGAATTGATCGAACAGGAATATTCTTTCTCCTCCTCAATATTGCCCTAGAAGCCATCATCGAGTTTTCCTCTCTTTGAGAAAGAAAACTGAAGTCACATTCCCAGCACCCTACTAGTTAAGCTTGGGATAAAAATAGAAATCGCCATTCAAATTCTTCATTTCATGATAAGAACATAGATTGCTTGCAAAAATAATACTGCCAGTCATGCACCACAAAATGGTTCCACATAAAATAAATTTACAAATGAAACTTCTTGTCGACTCTAAGATAAACGGAAATTCCTTACAATAATGGTGTTTTTCATAATTGAATTAAAAAAATAAATAAAAATCAATCAAAATTCTCATAAATGTGATAGACTAGAAAAAATGTAATGAAGGGCCTATACATATGTCATCTCTGCACATATTGGTATTGTAAGTTTTTGAATGGAAATTTTTATCTCTCTACTTAAAAGGCAGTATGATGTCCAATTTCCAGCATTTCTGGAGAACATATTAATGGCCGTAGTCAACTATTTGGACTGCAATTTAATGCTAAGATCATAATTTTCTCAATCCGAATGCCAGAACTCTAAGTTGCAATAGTAAGGTGCTGAATGAAATATATAGTTTTCAAATTCAACTTTCCCAAACTTTCAAGAAATCAAATACTTGGACAGAAACAATAACTCATCTGTCTGTTTATAAACGAACCCGTTGCACAAGAAACGGGCGTAAAACAAAAAAAAAAATGAGATTTTTCTTGAAGATATTCCCGAATCAATAATAAAAATTAGAAAACACGCAAATAATAATAATAATTTCAAACACATCAAAATTGTTGCTCAGAGAGCAGCGTGACTTACAGTTTGGAAATGAAACTGATCAACAGAAGTGAAGAATTCTAGCCTTGTAATATATATGTTATTATATGAGGGTATATATATATATATCTGTGTGTGAGACTATGAGATGGAGGGGTTTTAGAGAAATTGGAAATAACAGCGCTGAGGTTTTAGAACGGTAAGCAGACAAGGAGTTATCACTTATCAGTATTGCTCGACAATCAAACCATCAAATTGCAAAATCGAATCGAAACTCCGTTAACATTTTATTTTTGAGCGGAAGCAAGGTTCAATTTTTGCAAACTGTTTTAAACCATTTACCAAAAAAATAAAAATTGAAAAATTGAAAATAAATTAGCCTAAGCCCCCATTTTGTGGTAATGAAAATTTGTGGAATAATTTTTTTTTTTTTAAATAAGTGGTTAAAAAGAAAGAAAATTTTTCGATTTACTTATAATATTAGTTATGAAAAATTGTGTGGTTCAAAATAGAAGAGAAATAAATGAAATTTAATGGAATAGAATTTAATGGGGGTCAAATGGTGGCTAAATTTTATTTAACCCAATGAAAACTTAACACATTCCAGTTAAAAAGATATTAGACATAATTCAATTAAACCTAGTTTAATAATTATACGTCCCAATTAATTAATTAAATTATATCCAAACCCATTAATCATCATTGTGGGTGTAAAACTCTCAAATCGGGTGCAGTGATGAACAATGCTATTAAATCATATTCATCGAACAATGCTATTAAATCATATTCATCGATCCTTCATTACAATTGGGCAAATAATTAAATTTAGGTTTTAATTCAAACTTGTACATTTCATTTTCTTCTACTAATAATTATTCTCAAATTTTGCCTAAATTCAAGTTAGATTATTTGATTTTTTTTTATTTTTTTGGTAAATTTTTCTGTGTTTTTATTGATAGATACGTTGTTTTGTTCTAATAATTGTCGGGCTCTTTTAAAGTAGTTCGTTAATATTTGGATGAAGTAGAAGCATTGGATGATCCACAAAAAGTTATAATAGCTAGACATTATTATATTTGAATTTTTTTTATTCATTTTCTTTTATTAGCTATTTTATATCATTTAATTATAAGCAATGAATTCAAGTATTATATTTTTATATTTATGAAGAGAATGAATCGTCTATTATAATTACAGATAGGCGTTATTAGTATCGACTAAGAGTTTAAAATATTTACAATGAAAATTGGTGGAATGGATATCAGACATAATTCAATTAAACCTAGTTTAATAATTATAAATCCCAATTAATTACTTAAATTATATCCAAATACTCATTAATCATCACGATTGTGGATGTAAAACTCTCAAATCCGGTGAAGTGATGAACGATGCTATTTAATCATATTCATCAACCTTCATTACATTGGGCAAACAATTAAATTTAGGTTTTAATTCAAACTTGTACATTTCATTTCCTTCTACTAATAAGTTTTCTCAAATTTTGCCTAAATTCAAGTCAGATTATTCAAAAAATATATATATTTTTTGGTAAATTTTTCTATGTTTTTATTGATAGAGATGTTGTTTTGTTCTAATAATTATCGGGCTCTCTTAAAATAATTCGTTAATATTTGGATGAAGTAGAAGCATTGAATGATTCACAAAAAGTTATAGTAGCTAGGCATTATTATATTTGAATTTTTTTATTCATTTTCTTTTATTAGTTATTTTATATCATTTAACTATAATCAATGAATTCAAGTATCATATTTTTATATTTATGAAAAGAATGAATCATGTATTATTATTACAGATGGGTGCCATTAGTATCGACTAAGAGTTTAAAATATTTATATCATATTGTTGCATTATAATAATCATAATTATATAAATTTGATTTGTAATTTTTTTAATAATAGAATTTATGTTTTAACGTGAAATTTTAGGCTTATGATTTAACTTATTTGATATATATTAATTTTTTTCATTGTTAAACGTGGTTTTAAATCGAACCAAATTGAAAAAAAATTAATTTTGATTGATTTGATTTAAAAATTGAAGTGATTTGATTTGATTTGATTTAGAAAAAATTTCAAAACGTTTGGTCTCACTCAAATCGAACCATGTTCGCATCAGGTGTGGCTCTCTTATAGAACTCGGGTACACCCTGAAAATATGGACCATCGACTCTGTCAATCTCAGATTGGTCCACCATCCTTTCTCTTTTTCGTGGTCCAATCTCGTGATGGCAAAATTTTATGTTCCGTCTGACGCTCCATCTCAAATGACCGTCCTGAATTTTCTAAACTCGTCTCAAATATTTTTATTTTATTTATCTAATATTTTAGATTTAAATGTAAAAATAAAAAGTAAACAATTAATTTGTTAAACGCAATGGTAAATTGGATTTTTAATCCACGCTCCACTTTTCGAAAATTTCTGATCATCTTTATATTTTTCATGTTCGTGAATATGGCCTGTTTGATTCACATTCTTTAAAAAATATATATTTTTAAACAGTAATTTGATATCATTTTAACTACACATTCTTCAATAAAATAATATTGTATGCAAACCCAATTTTTTCCTTATTTTAACCACACATTTCCTTTCGATACACTATTAAAAAATGCATTCTTATGAAAATAATGTAGCTCAAACAAGAGCTATATTGCCCCCCACGGACTATAGTTATCGATTTATTTTTTTATTTTTGGTTGCACTATTTTCTAACATTAAAGATCTTTAATGTTTATTTGTTTTAAATATTTTATTAATTATAATACATGTGATTTCTAATGAATGATTTATGTTACAAATATAACATTGGCAAAAGATTATCGATAGTCATTTTTCAGGGCGGTTCTGTGATTGTCAAGGCTCGAGACAAATCCTATAAATTAGATCCCCTTTTGAAATCAACGTAAATGCAACGATGTATTAAGCAACATATTGCTAACTTAAAACTTAATATTAAAATAACAAACAAACTAAATTAATTCAAATTAGTATGTTGGTTGTAGAAAGCCGAAAACTGGAATTATTTTTTCTTTAGTTCATTGACATAATTCTCACAATTTACCTATCAAACTAAGTTATTGAAATTAACTATAAACTATTTTACATATTACTAGAGATTTGGGAGTTCTTCATGTCAAACTTGTACAACAAATTATATATTAATCAATAATGATTGATTCATTAAACATCTTTGTAGCATTTTCAGGTCCTCGACTCAACGGCTCCATCCTAGATAACACATTAACATTTAACAGTAACACAAGCTTCTGCTCTTTGACTTTGAGCTCTCTCCAATCAAGATACGGTATATTCATAGCCCACATAAAAAAAAAAAGAGCATTTATCAATTAAAATCAAGTAATCAAAATTGTAATAAGTAAAACATAAAAGTCATAAATGAATAGTTGAATACTTAGTGTAAATGAAATCAAATAACTTAAACAGAATGAATAATCTAATATACTAAACTAACAACCAACTACCAAGTTGCCAACAGGGGCGAACTGCGGTCTGCGGAACCAGTGTGACGGTGTTCGTAACTCCGGCGAAGAGGAAATCTGAAAGCTGGAAGGAGAAGTCAAGAAGAGAGACGGAGGCGACGCTGCGATTTGGAATTAATGGGATTTTGATTTCGGATTAGGGAATTTTTTGTGTAAATGGATACTGGGTCATGGATATATAAGTTGGGTAAATTAATTAAAGCTAAGGGCATTGTATTGGATTTTGGCTTCAAGTTGTGGACTGCTCTTCTGCATCACTGGGTTTGGTTCAACTAAAAAAGAGCCCCCCCTCCCCCCTCCCCCCGGATTTTGGGCCTGAGGCGTAGGCCTCAGTTGCCTAGCCTCAGGATTGGCCCTATCGTTTACCTGAAATACACATTACGGTTTATTATTTGATGCATGGGGCAATAAAAAAAACTACGAAATTAATGTATTAAATAACAAGCAGTCATGTGTATGTCACGTAATACTAGGGATGTAAGCTGTCCGATTTTTCACCAAACTATTTAAACCGGTTTGAGAAAAATTCAAACCTAAATCAAACCGTTTTGAACGGCAAAAAAAAAAAACTCAAACCTAAACCTAGCGGTTTGGTCCGATTTTAAACCGTCGATTTCATCTTATATTTTTTTATCTGTCTACTTTTATGATATTAATTTATTGAATTCAATATATATTTATATCTTACTAGCAATAAATATAAAACAATCTAAGCCCTTAATTGAACCAAATTTTTGGGACAAAAAAATGAAAATTTGAACCATTATCCCACAAGTCCAACCGTATTTGTTAACCTGTTGTTTCATGCGTGGGACCCAGCCTCATCTCCAACGGTCAATTTTTTCATTATGGTAACATGGTAAATATGGCTCGAACAGGGGGCTAAATATATATACTAAATCAAAGTGAAATCATAATAAACTAAAACATAATTTTTCTTATTTTTGTTCACCTTTTTTAAGCTAATGACGTTATGATAACGTTACAATACAAGTCTACTAAACGATATATAAGGCCCAAACAAATAATGATATCCAACAAGACCTCGTGATCATCATATCTTAAAAAATATTACTAATTAGATAAAGAGAATAACCAACCACAATAATATAGCTGTTGTTTATAATATCTAAACAAACAATTACACAAACTTACGTTTGTATGTTGTTACGAAACACATTTAATTTCAAGATTCTTGCCTTAGTTTGCTCAAAAAAATTATTGATTTGAAACTTTATTTGTAGAAATTATTATCACCGAAGGCCTAGGATTTCTTTGTCTCCGATTTGGTGTAATGAACTACAATTCATCTTTGAAGAGGCATAAAAAATCTGAAGAAGAAGCGTGTGTGGTGCCCATGGCTCAAGACCGTGTCGAGTGTCAGTTGGAGTTCATCTAAATTCTGAAGAGGAAAAGAGCTTTTGATAGATTATGTTAGTTTTGAAATTATTAGATATAAATTAAAATTATTAGGTAATAATAATATATATGTATTAAAAAATTAGAAATTGACAAAAATGCCTACAAATGACAAAACTATTGAATTTTACATATTTTGATGAATTTTCAAAAAATTTCATTTTTTCATTTTTGTATATTTTTTGCCGGTCCGATTTGATTTTAAACTACAATTAAAATTTTCAAACCTACACCAAACTATTTTGACCGATTTGATTTGGTTCAAAATCATTTCGTTGACCGGGTCCACATGGCACCAAACCGACAGTTTATAAAATGCAATTTCATTTCGATTTTCCAATTTTGGAATTTTTTGCTTACAGCCCTACGTAAAACAATACCGATGGCCTTCACTATAAATAGTATTACATAAATAATTGGCTTTAAAAAGACGAGGAAGCATAAAAGAAAATATCCTTTGACAAGTTGTTTTAGCGCTAACACCAAATCATTTATACGGTTTTTCTTTTTCTTTTATACAAATTTTCTTGTATTAAAACGTTCAGGACGAATTTATAGATCATTCGGGAATTATTTATAAATAGTTCAATTTATAAATAGCTAAAAGCTATGAATAAGTAGATGGTATTTAGGAGTCCCTAAAATATGTTGTTGAAATCCTATCAGAAACGTATCGAACTTCCTTATCCACGTGGCACAACAAAATTACAAATAGCTGATTATGACATAAATTATCTGAAGTGCACGGAAGATGTCATCATATGCTGGAATGATCAAAAACTTTATACGCAGAGTATCATGTGTTTCCTATACTTATTAATAAGCTTTCTGACTCGTGTGAAAGGGAGCCTGCCTCGAGGGCCGATCGGATCGTCCATCGCGCTTACTATGAAATTTGATTATTTATAAATAATTTATAAATTTCGTCAAAAATAGACTCAATAGCATGGGTGAGCCCAAGCAAGGTCCTAGGGGGTCATGACTTTTGATTTTGATTTTTTGTTTTTTTGTTTTTGTGTGTAGATAAGTCATATTTGGTATCGATTTTAATCTAAATCAAAATTAATAATTAATTTTAATAACATATTTCATAGAATCATTAACTTTTCAACTTTTATCAAAATCTATTAAAAATCTGATTTTAAACCTCCACCAAACAGGGCCAAAATCAAAATAAATTTGAATTTTTTCTCTTTTCTCTTACTCTATCTTATACTTTCCTTCACACATTTTATCAAAACATTAATCCTTCTAATTTTTTTTAAAAATTATCACATCTATTACAAATTTTCACTTTCCAATCAAATTTTCAATTGATTATAACCTAAATTTACATTTTCTCCTATCTTATTTGTGCACATATAATATGTCTGAACTGATTATATACAATTTAATTTATATTTAATGAATTGTATTTATTTGATTGAATATTGGTTATATGTTTTTTTCTTTTCAATCACTTAAATTGATTATTTATATTAAATACATTATAAATTTTTTAAACATAAATATGCATTTTCTTGTGAAGAGCAAAATATTAATAAAATGACTGTTCGAAATTAAATGAATGAAAATAATGAACAAAATATTAATGAAGAAATATTTTTTAAATGTAAATCTGCATTTTCTCAAATCAAATATAAATCATTCAAAAATCAAGAACAAAGTATTCGATTCGTACTTAGTTTGATTGTGCCCTCCTAACTAAAAATTTCTGTGTCCGCTCCTGCTCAATAACCTAACAGAAATACTTTAAATTTCATTGTCGTAAATTGTTCACATGTTAAATTCTTCATATAAATAATCTTCTTATTAATCGAATATAAAATTATTTCTCTGTTATTGCTTTTAAGTGCTTATTATAAATAGTAGGTCCTATACAATATGTAGATAATGAATAAATATCAAGTTGTGTGTCTTGTAAAATGTATGGAAAAAAAAATACGTTAAATTATAAATTAAGAACGTCCAAAAATGATACAATCAACTTTTTGAACAGTAATAAAAAATTTATCAAATAATATTTAACTTAGGAATAAGAAAAAAAAAGGTAAATAATTCAAAATAATCCAATATCACAGAGTTCCATGACAACATCACAAGAAGATATGTTTATGGTACATTCTCATATTCTAAGGCAACTATCTTACAAAACAACCTTCTCATATAGCAAGCATATTTTGAGCAATGCAAAACAACAAAAATTATTTCAAGCTATCATACATTTATTCGTCTCGCGATCTTCCATATTACAGATTATCACCGAAGTACAAATTTGAAGCTCCCAATAAACAGTCCTGAGATCCATCCATCATTATTTGATTCACAATAAGAGCACAGAACAACCAACTTTTAAGTCGATAGGTATCGTATAATGACGACTTTTTCCTGTTCATTAAATTGCATGCATCGCTTATTTCCTGCACAAAGATCAACAAGTCAGGTATTTGGAGACGCTAAACCTTCATAGATCAGCAGTTAGAACGCTAAAAACTTTCACGTTTGGTGCATATTGGTCTGGACGGGATAGAGATTGCCAGTTTTTCCGTCAAGTATTCAAATGTTTTGAATCTGATGACTTATATCTTGGGGGTATTTCATCTAATCCACTGGATTTCCCTCAAAAACAGTTGAAATGAGAGGTGATTTTAGGAAAACTGAGTCGATTGATGAAAATAACCTTTGAATCAATCAAATACAAAGCACGTGATTGATTGACAAAAAAAGCTGACGTTTTTATCCGACTGGGACCAATGCCAACCAGAAATGTAACTATGAAACCTGAAGGCCAGATAAAATGAATTGGGTACCCATGCGTCCCCGCTGTAAAAATTTCACTATATTCTATTCACTTTTGTTCAACCCGTCGCAGACTACTCTGGTACGTTTTTTAACCACAGATTAGATAGCTTGTTGACATGCAAATGAAAAATACGTGTAATTTTATAGTCCACGATTTCAATACAAGTAATACTAGGAAGCTATACTTTTCATCACATAAGAGCCTCAAAATATTGACACTAGGCTGCCAACAAATAATCTGGCCAGGGATAGTGAACTTAACTCAATTCTTGAAGAATAGAGAAAGAGAAGCAAGGAAGATTAAAGAGTAGCAAGAGGATACCAAGGGAGTTTGAAAGTGTCTTTCCACCATCCATGTTTAGAGCCATTCGTAATAATTTTATCCAGTTGCAAAATGATATCAGAGAACATCGGCCGCATGGCACAATCTGGATGCCAACATTGTTCAATCAACCTGATTAAATAGCAAAATTACTTAGAAAAGTGAAAATCACAGTACTTGAACTCTACATTTATGAAGCAACTTCAAACCATAAGAAAAACCTCCCGGGAGATTTATCTTGACGCCAAGCTTGACCAAAAAGGCCAAACAAAAAATTTCATAAGTAAATTACCAAGGAACCATGGATGAAGATGATCTTCATACTTAAATAGTGATTCTTATGTTCCTTTGTTTCTTTTCTTCTCTATGTAGAAATTAACTTTTGCATGAACATGAGAATTACATTGTTCAAGCGACCGACATGCCAAGGAGTCTGACCTGCTTGATAGATAACTGGACTGTTTCAAGGCTAGAAGCTCATAAGATCACCCATTATTCTATTTTCTAGGGTGAATTTTTGGATAAAAGTGAAGGTGAATTCTATTCATGATTGTGCTTTTCTTGAGAATCTACTTTCTGGTAGAGTTGCCTTAAGATTTCTTATCTTGTCATGTTCCCTCAGCGCATCACCATGAACGTACACTTACAATAGTACTACATATTACCAAAATCTGAATGGAGAGAGCAAAACCATTTCCTTAAAGAGAGACAGACTAGTCAGTAAAGCTGGTCCTCCACACCCTCAACAAACCCCAAAAAAGAAGTAATAGGCAAGAGAATTAAGAAGTTAATCTCCAGCTGTCTTCTACTGCAGAATTCATGGAAGAAACTGACAGTTCCAATTCAATAAGAAGTAAAACCTAGAAGAGGGAGGTTTTAAGGCATCAATGCACCCAAACTGTGACTACCTATAGAAATGCATACGCAAATAACTGAAAGCAAAAGAAAGACAAATAAAAGAGAAAAGAAACGAATGACTCACTCTTTTAGATCTGAAGGATATTTAGACTTTGACTTGAAAGCTGGTCTTTCTCCTTCTAGGCACATCAACTTTGCAGCTTCCTCGGGAGTCTTGGAAGAAAATGGTGGAGCACCCTCAATCATCTAAATCCACAGTCAGAAAAGTTGGTAAAACAGAAAGTTAATCATTCATATCACAGAATCTGTAAAATGGATGGCAGCATGATATTTTAATATGTTGCAGTGGCAAATCGGATGAAGAGTCATTAATCAGATACTAAAGTTTATTATCATCTTAGAGAATATTGTAGTCCATAATATTTAAAAGAAAAATATTTTTTCAAACTAGATAGGAGGAAAAACAAAGAAATAGGATTATTGGAAAAAGAATAATCATCTCGAAAAGATCTAGCCCCTGTTTGATCCTCATTTTCTCAAAACTTATTTTTCCTTCAACTCATTTTCAAACACACATTTTATGGGACCCACAACTTTTCAATCATACATGTCATCAAACTTCTATCAAAATTTACTAAAAATCTGGTTTTTAGCTAAACCAAATAGGGGCATAGCTGTATCTGGTGGAAATGCTAACCTCGGAGACCAACTACCAAATAGTGATATAATAATTTCCTTACAGATAGTCCCAAGTATTAAACCCAAATTGCTACTTTTCAGGTCTGCTTTTGCAAAAAAGAATCAGGTTTCAAACACTTGTTTGGATCAAAGGGTCAGAGTGATTCAACTGCTCTACAGTCTTTTGAGCAAGCAATACGATCAGTGACCAGGTGATAGGTTTCACCAATGCAACCTCGAAGCAGATATTAGAACTAGAGGTGGCAGCATGAAATTGCTTTCACGTTATGCCTTTCAACATTTAAATAAAAAAACATGGAGAAAAAGCAAAAGCAAAAGCAAGAAAACATCAAATACCTCATAAAGCATAATACCAAAAGAGTGCACATCCACACTTCTGTCAAATATTTCATCTTTATAAATTTCAGGTGCCACGTAAAAACCTACATATAACAAGGAAAAGAATGTTGGGATCGGAAAGTAGTTGATGGCCAAAGCTTTGCCTCCTTCACGGATAGAAACATGTAGATCATTCCTACAATTCTACCAAATTTCTTACTAGAAAAGCCTAAAATGGACCGAGTAATAATCAAAAGTAAAGATGTAAAGCATAACCGTATAACTTGGGATGACTCACTTGAACGATCTATGGCCTCAGGTTGCAGTAATTTTGCTTTGTCAGGGGAAATTGTTGATAACCTAATGACACCGAATCCTGCTACCTTCAGCTGCCCTCCACTATCCAGCCAAATATTTCTGGCACCTTACCAAAATTTCAAATACTAAAAAAAGGTTGCATAAAGTCACTATACACATGTCAATAAAAAAGAAACAACTTAAGCATTTAGTTGCCTTACTTTGGCTTTAAATCACAATGAATTATTGGGTCCGGTTTGCTTTCGTGAAGACAATTCATGCCCCTGTCAAAGAAACAACTCTTGATGTGTCAAAAACAAACAGGGACTGGATTTGACAGTCACCCCTTCCCTCAACACATTGAATTATGCACTTTGCCTCCTTATTCCCTGGATTGTACATTGTCATTCATCCATCCTTATTACTCTGGAGGTTATATCATGGACATATGCCAAACTATGACCCACTTCACCAAAGAACAATATGTCCCAGAATGGTGTAAGTAGGATCATTGATGTCCAAGTAACAGTATATCATGAACAACATATGTGCTATGCCAATGTCTTGACTAAATTTTAACTGGCAGGTCTTGCTCCCATGAACTTTATATACAGGGGGGAAAAAGAATAAAAAAGAAACTCAATAAAAAAGGGAAGGAAAAAACTAAACAGCAGGATTGAAGAGGATTCACATCCAAACAACCAAAAGCAGAATATGGTGGCTGGGTTTGACCTGCTCACTCTCCCAAGATTCTATACTTTCTAGTACAGACAATCACTTGATGAACCCAGTGATTTATGTTTCATGCTCTTAAATATAATCTTATATGAACCTAATCCATATGGAAAATTTGATAAACAACTAATTATTATGCAAAGGCCAGGGGCATTTTGAATGGTTAAGTGACTAGAACAAATATTTATTTAGGTTATAGAGAACTTCCACCCCCACCCACTCAACCCCACAATGCTAAAACGTTTACTCCTCCATTGCAGACAATATAATGCAGGATATGTTGAAGAGCAATAATAGAAATTACTAACGTTCAAGTGAACTTCCAAAGCAGATTAATGACACAAGGAAGATAATAATTGATTCAGACTACATATTTCTTATGCAAATGGTAGAAGAACTCAAATTACCTGGCAATTTCAATGGCAAATCTTAACGCTTTTGATGGAGATAGACGTCCTTTCTTTTGAAGATAGCCACTAAGATCACCCTGAAAATTTCAGTGCAAAAATGAGCTTATATCGAGCATGCTACTGTAAGAAGGTATATACAGATTTCTCTGCTTAATCACCAACTTCGAACGTAGAGCAAATTAAATTAGCCAAAGAATAAATTAAATTTCAGAAATCAACGCAATTCGACTTCCACTTGTGAAGTTAAATGACAAGCAAATTTAAGGTCGTGAACTCCAAAACTAATGCAAATAAATAAACAGAATGGAAATTGAATTCCACATAATCATGAATGGATGCCATAAATTGACACAATGTTCAAGAATACACGTCATGAACACAATAATGTGAACTCATATGCACACACTCATGCCCACATGAACACGTGACAAACACAAAGTCAAGCGTACACACAATGATGTACATGTATGGATAGAGAAATAGAGAGAGATGAGTACTCTTGAATGATACTCCAAAACGATCATCATAGGGACATTTTGGGTGACAGCACCAACAAACTGAACCACATTAGGATGCCGGACCTTCTCTAACAAGGTCAACTCATACTTAAAAGCATTTCTGCAGTGTAACACACATAAAATTAGTACAGTTAAAAATTGAAAACAACTCAACAAGAAGTAACCCGCATATTTGTGAGCAGGACAATTTCCAACAAAACAGAAATGACGAACAAGATAGCTGCATAACTTATAGAAGGAAAGCATGCATTATTGGTCAAGCATTGTATTTGTAGGACTTCTGATACCCAAGATAGCTGCATAACTCTATATAAGAAAAGCATGAGTTATTGGTCAAGCATTGTATCCGTAGGACTTCTGATACCTAAGATAGATGCATAACTTATCCCAGAAAAGCATGCATTATTGGTCAAGCATTGTATTCGTAGGGCTTCTGATACCCATACTCCAGTAAGAGTATTTTCTCATTGAAAATATACTCACATATTAAACACATGCTGATCAATAACAATATCAGTGTCTCACATGCTAGATACTAATTTGTCCTTTAGGCATTGGAGAGAAGAGATGATCAGGGGTTTTAACATTTAATATTGTCATGAGTAGGGATTATGGCCAAAGGAAGCATATAATGTAGTGATTCTACCATATTAACATTTGAAAATCTGATTTTATTTATTTATTTATTTAATGCATTAGGGCAAGAATGAACAGATGATGCATTTTATATATTATCTACCATGATTACTATCAAAAATTTTTAGGGACTTTTTCATACAGACACATTTGTGAAAAATAAACAATCAAATTCAAGACAAATTGCCTTGATACATGCTATTCAAAAGTAATCAGCTTGCCATCAGTGTTAGACTTGCTCTTTTTGCACACATACAGACAGAACATTCAAGTATTCTGAAAGAATATCAAATAAGAAGCATGATTAGTTCTCCTGATATAAATAACTCTGAAGGTGCATAATTATGCAGTCTATTTAAACCTTAAGAGATTATATTAATGGAAATAATTCCAAGTTCTTATCATGTAGGCCACACTGTTGATGAGGATATTATAACAGTTTGCCAAAAGGATGATTCTTGTTTTCATATTCCATATATAGAACTTCCAACAGAGCGAAAAACAACTAAAGTCCCTCCAGAATTCACTCATGTAAATATTTTTTTACCCAACAGTTAGACAAAGACAATTACATTTATGCCTAGCTTGCAAGAAATATAATATAATTCGAACACTGCAGTACAGAAATAGGAGTCAAAAAAGTAATTGCATGCCATTGGTGAAAACGTGCATATGAAGCTATATCATATAAGAAGTGATGTGATCAGAGTACTCTCGCGATCTGAAAACATGTATTTGGATAGTAACATGTAGTTTGAAGGCATAATTAGCTTGCATAAGTGATAAGAGAATACATGTAACAGAATTTTCAGTAAACAAAAAGCTGAGAGAAAGGAGGCATGTACATGCATTCAGGGTCTGAATGGCTATCCTTGTGAAGTATCTTGACAGAAACTTTTGTGCCGTTCCACTTAGCAACTTGATAGGATCCCTGTCCAAAGTTATCAGAAAACAATAATCACACGACACAATCGAGTGAATTAAAAATATTTGTAAGAGAAGGAAGAAAATATTTGGATATTACAACAAGAAAAAGAAACTAAGCCTTTCTAAAATAAATTTAGGGGGTCAGCCATATGAATCATTTTCTACAACTCCACTGGTTCATAGCTAGATCCACGAAGAAGATTAAGCGCAACTAGATTTTTAGCAACCACAACAAACAATTTCCCTCCATTTTTTTCATGTTCTACCAAAATCAAGTCACTCTCATGAACGGGAGCCTCTTTATGCCTACACAAAGAAGTCCAAACCGCCTAAGTTATCCCCCCTTAAATTATCCTCAATCAGCTCCACCTCCACTTATCGGCATATATTCTTATTTCTCATCTTATCTATTTTATTATGACCACACACTCATCTAAGTATTCTCATTTCCAATACATTCATCTTATAGTTATTTTGTCCTCTAATGAACCAACACTAAATACCTGAGTAATCGTATCAGATAACCGACAACTGAAAGCATAAAGAGATGGAGATGCTGTGGCTTTCAAAATATTAACCATCAAAAACACTAATTTTTGAAGAACAAACAATTGTCCTAATTTTTGCAGAAGAAGCTATTGTCTCATTGGCCTTATATCTCTATGTAGATACTTATGTTATTGCAGATTTCAAGAAAATAGACCTCACCTTTGCGATACCATCGCTCTTCCTAATTTGGATGTCTAGTGGGTTGAGCTCATATTCTGGAACTTCCCGTGGATTTGCAACAGTCATTGGCGTCTTTCTGGTTTTCTATGATTATGACATGCACGTCTATGAGTGTCACGTAGAAAGAAAAAAATTCCCAACCTTAATTAGGAACATTCTCGCACTTACTGGAATTTTGGCCCCCCGGGCCTTCAAAATATTATAAACTTCAATATTTCCGTAATACTTGGCATCAACAGCAGCCTGTCAAATTGAAAATCTTTAATTAAATGCACCTGGAAATAGAAGATAAGCAAGAAATCCACAAGGGTATGGACTGGCATTCATGCAATGTATAACCATCATTAATCTTATGATAAGGTTTGAGAACACTAGATATTAGAGTTAGAGACATTAAACTGTAGACCATGTACTACATATATGGCTTATTTACTTGAGGCCACTAGCAAAGGCCATTAAATCAATTTTTTTCACTACTCACCGGAAAATGTAAGGAGCAACTAATTCTTCAGTTACTTCGATTTTTACAGTGGAAATTTCGTTAATAAATATGTTTGTGTATACATATATATTAAACATTCACTCATTACATGAACTTGTAAGTGTTCAAAAACAATTTTATGCAGTCCACATAATACATCTGACATTCACCACTTCGGTATGCAGTAACTCAGTTACAGCATCCATACCTGGTATATAACAAATATAGTTTGATTATACAAACTTGCATCACATTTTCCAAATTTTGTGTTAGTAAGCAAATATATGTACAATCTTCCAACTTTCAACTCATTGAGAATGAAATAGAAAAAACTGTGACGAGAAAGTAACCCTTTAGACAAAAGCAGCCTCAAAAGATTGCTTACAAGCTCCCACTTTCCCATCACTATCTCATTATAATTATTACAACCTTTTTTTGAAATTCAATGAGGTCAATATCTTGCAATACCAACCATTTCCATATAAAATATTAGTCTAAAAACTGAAAACCAAGTAACAAAAATCAACTCACCTAACATAAAATGCCAGAGAAATGCAGGAACCAAATGATCCAAAACAATTTAACTTAACCTGATGATTTACCATTTTTGGCCAGCTTTAATTGGAACGGGACACACATATACCAAACAAAATGCGCGAGCCATATTAAACAAAACAAAAGTGGCAATTAACAGCAAGAAAAATATACCGTGCTACCCCATCGATCGCGAGCATCGATGTTTGCCCTCCTACTTAGCAAAAGATTAACAACCCCCACATGCCCCTCACAGGCTGCAATGTGCAAAGCAGTCCTCCCATCCAAATCAATGCTATTTACATCAATCCCGTCATCCAGCAAATCCTGCACTCCCTTCACGTCCCCTTTACTCGCCATGAATAGCAGCTGCATTGTGGAGTCCAAATTCTCCGGCACCGTCAGCCCATCATCCTCCACCGAGCTCCGCCTTATGGGGTCCAATGAAGACTGCCTCCCAAAGCTGAACCGGAAATTGTTCCGTTTTGGGTCCACCGAGTTCTGCCTCCGGAAACTGTATTTCCCACTCCTTCTCAACGACCCAGTTGAGAATTGGCGTGATATTCCGCGTTTTAATAGCGAGGCAATGTCCATCCCAACAAACTTATTACAATAAAAAAAAAAAAATGACGCTGTTCTCGTCCTTCCTTTTCAGAATAACACCATTCACACTTTCTTCTCAATCAATTCGAATTCATCCAAAGTATTTCCATCAAACCCACAAAATTATCAACGAAAACTTAGCCTTATCTTGTACAATGAATTCGAAATATTAATGGAGTGAAAATGGTTGAATTTGGTGGGCTCTAACTCGTTTTTCAAGAGCTGGAACGAAGCTCTCGAAGAGGAGAAGAGCAAAGGGAAATTGAATGGATCTGAGAATGAGAGATTGAGGAAAGTAGAGAAAGAGCGATGAAAATGGAGTAAAAAAGTCGATGAGAGAAGAAGAATTTGATAGTATTTTATTCCACAAAACGGCACCGAAAAAGACGCTACCGCGAGACGTGTACCGACAATATGAGATTTGCATGCGTGTGAGAAGTTTTATGGGATTGGCTTCAAATGATCGTAACTACAAGACAAACATGTTCTATCGTGCCCAATTTTGGCCTACTACCTTGGATTAGGTCAAGCTTGGAGGTGAGCAGAGGCGTCAAACGAGTCATTGTTACTACTTTGTCTGAAGAATCATGGGGATGAAATTGGTTCACGGATAAAGTGATACAATGAATGTTAACAAAACGTGATTGGATGAAAAAGTTGATTATATTTAAAACAGTTTAATGATGAAATATCATGTAATATTATATCAATTATTATGTCAATGATTATTTCACTTTAGCATAATTGAAAAATTATAACTCGTTATGGAGGAAAATATGGGTATTACTTTATGTAGGTCGAGTCATTCGGCTCGTGCTTTGAAGGCGAACCATCTCGCTCAAACAAAGTGTGCTCGACTTACATCTTGGTGGGATTCGTCACTCTTGGCTTGCCAATGTTTTTATTGAAATTGTAATTTTCACTATTTATGATGAGCAGGCTTAGGGGTGGGCGCGGGTCGGTTAGGTTCTCTTTAAAATCAAACTGAACCAAAATTTTCGGGTATCTAATAAATGGAACCGTCGGGTCCAAATATAATTATGGAATCGTTCGGGTTCGGTTCCATTCGGTTCGGTTTCGTTCGGTTCTGTACTATAATTAAATTTTTTAACATTTATAACAACGTTATATAAGTACGACTAATGATACATTCAATGGTTTTGGAATATCAGATATTAGTAAACTACCTTGTTCAAATGATCGCTACGATCAAAGTTTCGGTCGATGAAAGTCACGGTTTCGATCGGAGGTCAGAGTGTCGGCCGATAATTGTATAGGTTTTGAAATATTAGCGAGGCTGCGAGAGTGAGTGCGAGAGTCGAGACAACGTTATGCACTTTATTGTAGGTCTTTAGGGTTATTTAGTGGATTTGATCTTGTTTAGCTAAGAAATGAAACAATAAAATGAGTAATTGAGCCAAAAATTAAAAAATTAGAAATGAAAAAAATTATTGGGCCAAAAATTTGAATTTATAAATCATTAATTTGTTAATTTGTTTAGAAAAATTAAAATAATTTGATTTATTCAATATAAAAAAAATTAGAAAGATTCAGTTCTTATTCGGTTCTTGGACTAGAACCGAAAATCGAACCGTACCCGTCGTTCTCAATTCAGATACCCGTTCGGGTATTTAATTTGACAAGAACTGTCGGGTTTGGATCGGTTCGATTCGGATTCGATTCGATCAGTTCGGTTCGGAAGATTTGCCCAGCCCTAAGCAGGCTCATGCACTGAATTCACGACTTGCTCGACTAAACACAATTAGGCACCACATATCACCCCAGTGACCCCACCAAATCCAAAAATTCATCTCAACCTCACTCCTTTTGGGTTCAATCACGCTCTTCCAGTAATATTGTTCGTTTAGAGGCATTACATCTACCAAAGAAATGAGGCTTGACACAAGTGTGTAGAACCATATATACTTACATGGTTGAAATGTTAATGAATTAATTGTGGTTACGAATGAAATGTTACTCGAATTCAGAGCTAACTGTTACTAGTTATTATCAATAATAACAATCACTCTACGAATATGCATACGTTCTTGGTAACCAAAAAACTCGTTTAGATTAAAGTAAAAGTTTTTAAAGGACTTAGTTTTAAAAGGAAGAAAGTTAGAGTTGGGTTATCATGTCTTTAAGTTAATGTGATTTTGGGTTTGATTATTAAATGTAAGATTACTTGTCTTCAATTTATTTAAATATATAAATTTGAATCTCACGTGATTGATCAATACTTAAAATCGAATGTCAACAATGTCAAATCACGTAACATCTAATTTTAAGTTTCCATCAATTAAAAAAACACCAAAGAGGTAATGATTTGTACATAACTTTGTATAGCTTTTCTCTAATACAAATATGGGCAATATTTGAAAAAGATGAGGACTAGGGGGACATGATCTCTATGTCTTTGTCACGTGACGCGGGTAGTTTTTTCGGGAATGATACGCGGCATTTATGATTTTATCAAACTGCAAATGGCCCAACTGGCCCTCAATAATGATAAGCGCACTCTGACCATTTCAAACTCTATTTTTTTCCATTTTTTCACTACATCTTGTAATTATTTATTATTATTTTTTATTTTTTATTTTTTATTTTTCACCAAATTGATAGAAGAGAGACAGAAAAAGGAGGAAATACCCAAAAATGACCCTTACACTATAGCAAATATTGACATTGGCCTTTGACCAATTAAATGAATTAAAAAAAAAACAAATTAAGTTAAAAAGAAAACTTTACAGTATTTTCCCATTTTACCCTTCAGACTGTTTGATAATTCTCTCACCGACCGAACCGACCGACCAGTGGAGAAAACCAACCGACCGACCACCGGAGAAAACCGACCGTCGCAATCAACGATCATCATCTACAGTGGAAGTAAAAGAACCGGTTAGTTTTCTGATACAAACTCCAGTTCGAATGCTTTTTTTCATAGTTAGCATCCTTAGTAATTTTGGCTGAAATTAGATCCATGGGCATGAGTAGGTAGATTGTGGACATGCTGGAATGTGAAAAATGAGATTTGTTGCCATTTTTTGGAGCTCAGTGGCCGGGAATGACGGTTTCCGGCCGATTCCCGGCCACCGCGCGTTTTTAGCCGTAACCCGACTGTTAACAGTCTGGGCCGACTGTTTAACAGTCGGCCCAGACTGTTAACAGTCGGAAACCCGACTGTTAACAGTCGGTAACCCGACTAAAAACGCGCGGTGGCCGGGAATCGGCCGGAAACCGCCATTCCCGGCCACTGAGCTCCAAAAAATGGCAACAAATCTCATTTTTCACATTCCAGCATGCCCACAATCTACCTACTCATGCCCATGGATCTAATTTCAGCCAAAATTACTAAGGATGCTAACTATGAAAAAAAGCATTCGAACTGGAGTTTTGATTAGAAAACTAACCGGTTCTTTTACTTCCACTGTAGATGATGATCGTTGATTGCGACGTTGGTGTAACTCCGGTGGTCGGTCGGTCGGATTTCTCCACTGGTCGGTCGGTCGATCGGTTCGGTCGGTGAGAGAATTATCAAACAGTCTGAAGGGTAAAATGGGAAAATACTGTAAAGTTTTCTTTTTAACTTAATTTGTTTTTTTTTTAATTCATTTAATTGGTCAAAGGCCAATGTCAATATTTGCTACAGTGTAAGGGTCATTTTTGGGTATTTCCTC